CGGGAGGCACAAAGGAGGATCCTGATAAGACGGGAGCTCCTTCTTCCCCTCTTCTCTGGAGGGCAACGGAAATGACGTCCTCTTCGGGGGGGGGGGGGGGGGGGGGGGGCGGTTCTGGAACGTCTGGAACACGGTGGCCATCTTGAATGGCTGTTTTTTGTATTAACTTTTTTTAAAAACAGAAGCATGTGATCGGTCTATAATTAACAGTAGCGAGCAACAAAATGTTTCACATGCACCACCACAGCGGGAGTGAATTGCTTCAAAGCTTACTTTCAGCTTACGACAAAATTTATTTATTTGCCCAAACTCCGCCCCAGTAAACATGACTTGGGTGAGAGGGAACCGGGGGTAAGAGAATAAGGAAAATATATACAGCCATACTTGACCCAGCTCCCTAACCGCAGCCCCGCGCATCCTCCGCAGGGTCCGGTGACACTCGGAACCCCTGCGACTATTGACACAGTTCAAAACGAATCTTCGTCATTCTCTTCCCATCGTCTTTTCACCGCGCAAAACACCCCATACCCTCGGCAGGCCCCCCAAAGGCCCTCAGGCGTCGCACGCTCGCGGTGTTCTGGGAAGTTGGACCAACGAACAGAGAACCGATACGAGCTTCCCTCAAACGTACGTGTTTATTGCTCGAGCGAACATTTCCTCTGTGTCACCTTATAATGGACCGCAGAGGGCGCTACGAGCCATCCCAGCCTAGAGTTCCTGTATAGCTACCTACGGTAGCAGAGTTGCGCATTCAGCCTCGGCGCGTGGCCGTAGCGCCGGCTTTCCCGCACGAGCTGGATGCTTTGCTCCTCACGTGACTAAATTTGGCGAATAGCGGCGCCGCGCGCGTCGCCGCGCATGGAAAACAGGAGAGGAGGAAAAGGAGGCGGAAAGCAGGGAAACATACGCCGGGGCAAGAGAAACGTCGGCGGAGCGACCGTAAAGGTGGCTTTCTTGCACACCACCGATGCTTTGCTCCTCACGTGATGGATCTCGGCGAATAGCGGCGTGGCGGCGCGGGGAAAACAAATGCGCAACTCTGGCTCCCGTAGGGAGCCACCGTTTTACTGAAAGAGGGCGAGAGAGAAAAGGGGAAAGGGCTACCGGCGCTTTCCCCCTTTCTGATTGTGTAGAAAGAGTGAAAGTCCCGGATGAGAGGCTTTGCCGGTGTTGGGTGTCTGCTGTGCCCCAACTTCGCTCGCGCTTTCTTTTCTGTTTTAGACTCGCAAACTTAATTAGAGTAACGGGCTTCGATGGCAACAGTTCCCCGGTCATCAGGACACCATTGCTCGGTCATAGGGTGCACGAATAACGACAGAAAGCGTCGAATTCTGTCCGAGGACCTATGTAGCTTGCAATGAATCCGGCAAGGCGAGAGCGGCTGCAATGTCTTTAAGCTCCATCGCTTTCCACATGACCCCGATCTTGGCGGCAGTGGATTGCGTTCGTAAACCGAAAAGACATTTCCTCAACACCATCTTCTCGACTGTGCTCGGAACAGCTTGTGAATGAAGCGCGCACCGAACTCTGTACCGCCGATAAACATGGGGTACGCTCGCAAGATGCGTGCCAGTTTTCTCGTGATAATTGCTGTTTCAGCTTGTAAAATTTCCTAACTGAATTTATCTTAATAGTGATAATTTGCAGTGCTGACTGACTCGATTTTATCATCTACAACACTTAGTTGAAGGCTCATTTCCACCGCCGGGTGAAGCTGGAAATTGTTGAAAACGTAGTTCTATTGTTTGTTTGTTTGTTTTTTAATCGCGATCTCCTGCGCGATACCAGAGAGCCGGCAAAAGCGCTCCTTGAAGTGCCGCTGGTGGGTTGTTTCCGTTGACTAAGGCGCTTTGAGGCGCTTGATAGTCGCTGCAGGAACGTCTCGTGTGTTGCGATCTGCGTTTTCGAGCCCAGTGTGCACGTTTCTTTGTTTGAGTCATGGCATCCGCCAGTGTGGCCACGGGGGGAACAGCGGCAGCGAACGTGCCAGCGATAGAAATTGGAGGTGAGTATTAAAAATAATGCATCAAATAGTAAACTAATTCGTGGCTGCTTCGAGGCTTTCTGCGGTTCGATAAAAGTACATCTAGAGCGTCTTCGTCGTTCATTCACAAGGAGATATAAGAACAGGGACACGAAGATAAAAACAGCACAGCAAAACGAGATGTAGCAGCTCCGGGCGTTTACAAAGTTAATTGAGGTTCCCGTTTCGTGTATCGCTTGTTGATTACAACTAAAAGCGGCTACGTTGAAATAGGCCCATTGCAAGCAAAAATGTATAAATGGTTCATCATTTCCAGTCATGCGGAAAGCAATGGAGCTTAAAAATATTCCAGCCGTACTTGCCTTGCCGGATTGCATGCAAGCTACATAGGTCCTCGGACAGTATTCGACGCTTTCTGTCGTTATTCGTGCACCCTATCACCCAGCAATGGTGTGCCGATAACCGGGGGACTGTCGCCATCGAAGACCATGGCTCTAATTAAGTTTGGAAGTTTGAAACGTAGAAGAAAGCGCGAACGAAGTTGGGGCACTGCAGACGCCCAACACCGGCCAAGCCTCTCATCCGGGACTTACACTCTTTCTACACAATCAGAAAGGGGGAAAGCGCCGGTAGCCCTTTCCCCTTTTCTCTCTCGCTCTCAAAATGGCGCTGCCCACGATAAAACGGTCTATACAGGAACTCTATCCCAGCCAATCCAGCTCTGAGTGTCACCTTACCCTCTGTGGTGTGCTATGCGAAGCTCAAGGGCATGTGATTCTCTCTCTCAGCCCTCGATTGGCGAAGACGGTCTCTAGCATCCGCTACGGTCCACTGTGCGGTGGAACGGAGTGTGGTACATGAGGATGGGGAAGCGAGGCGCCCGGGGATCTTCTGCCGAGGGAGTGGCACCAGGCACTCGGATGAGAGGGGAAAACAGCAGGGCGCTATCGGAGTGGTTCCGAAAAGACCGGTCGTGGGCCGAGTGCGTTGCGGTTTTTGGGGCGCGGCGAAGACGCGCTGGAATTCACGCGCCTCTGGTTAGCAGTAAGGAGTGCTGCGTTGTATATACAGGCACACGTGCACCCCTAACAGCATCGCTGGAACTCCAGCGGGTCCCCCACTGGGTCTCCCGATCCAGTGACTTTAACGAAATCAAGGCCACCACGGGCCTCATTCGAAATGCACCCCGTATCGCTCCTCCCTTCCCCAGCCGACAGTGATAGGGGGGGGGAGGGGTTCGAACCCTGAAACCCTCCCCCTGGGTACGGCCCTGATGGCCGGACCCGGACGAGACTTTCGCCATGCTGATCGCGCTAAGCAAACACGTGGTCACGTGTCGCGAGCGGGTGAGTTCTCGTTGCTCACTGATAGCTCTAGAGAAAGAGCTTCACCGGAACTTCGCGCGTTCCCCTTTCACGTCACAACGCACGCGATTCGGATGATGGTGAAGGAGTTCAGAGGTGCCGGAAACCTCGATCTTTGTCAATTTTAAAGAAGAAAAACTAGGACATGCAGGCAAAAACGGTTATTTGTTCTTTACTTCAGAAAGGTCGAGACACTAACTCCCAAATTATTTAAGCAAAGCACTGAAATTGTTGCACAGCTCCTTTAAGCAAGAATGTTGGCACGAATCTGTCAAGGATAAATTTGACTGAGCAGCATCACTTATTTATGTCGAACTTCGCTGGTAGGAATCATTTCAGGATGAAAGTGCACTGCTCAGAGTGAATGCTTGTGCGGCATCGGTAGTCCAGATTTAGATAAAATTAAAGTTGTCTCCACAAAACTTCAATATTTATATAAAATGGCTCATCATTTGATATGCTAATGCATTATAAGAAAATTAAGTATATTAACTAATATTTAAAACATATGTAAGGTTGCCTTATTTGGAAGAGCAGAATGGTTTACGGTATACCCATTATCAGTAGTTCATGTTGTGACTGAAGGAGTAACTAAATTTAGAATAAACGATATTTTTAGTACAATTGTTTTGGAGGTTCAGATTCATTGAAATTGATATAAACCACTATTGTGTTAGCTTCTCCTCTAACTATTAATAGTCAATATAGAAGAAAAATGTAAAATAAAAGTTTTGATAAAGCAAAGTTTTAATTGCCCCCATATATGACAATGACACCGCTCCATGCAGACTTGAAAAGAGCCTCAGTAGAGGAGCTGTATCCTCTACATCAATATAATGCGACATGTATTTAAAAGGACATTGAACTCCCAAAGCATTGTGAAGTACCTGGATAGGATAGCTATTTTAGAAAAAATAACCTTTCTTGAGAAAGAAATTAGCGGAATATTCATGTTGCAACGCTTACTCCGAGTTAGGAGCAATTCCGAAAGATGTTTTATAGGCGGCACGCATGAGCTACATGAAGCGCCTCTCTAGCATCATCACCATCATTTGTGATGAAGCGGGTAGGACTCACCCAGCAGACGACACAGATTCCTCGGCTCGTCAGCTCATTTCATGCATTCTTCGGGTAATGCGGCGGCACCAGTTTCATCCATTGTGTTTATTTGGTGGAATGTATTTAATTGATGTTTAAAGGTGTGGCATGCATATAGTTGTGCTAAGCAAATGCTTTTGGTGCTGAAGTGTCGAAGCTTCTACCATGCTATCACTATCACGGTAAACAGGATGTAATTTCTGATATTATTTGTATTTAATACTGATCTAAATATTACATTAGTGTACTAGAGACAACTAAAATATCACATGACAGCTTGGTCATGCACAAAGACTGAGCACAAAATGTGTTGTGAGCAAGCTGGGCACGTCATGTGTCTGACATCATAGGGTCACGTCGTCGTCGCTGCATGTCATGACGTTATTATGATGTCATCATAGCATCATCATAACATTGCATGACATCATAATGACATCACCACAACATCATGTTACCATGACGTCACAGCGAGTCACGATGACATCATAGTGTCATGTTACATCACAGTCATTCGTGATGGTTCTTCATGATGGTCTTCTAGCTGATAAAACACATTCTGTGTTAAAATAACTTTTATTTGATGCAGTATGACGATGTTGTACCATCACCCTGCCGAGTTGGTAGCTCCAGAGCACCAGTCCATTTGACAACAGAAACTAATAGGGATTTGCAGGTAGCAGGTGTGAGTCCCAGTCGACGTGCTTGCAGTCTAACTGAGACCTTTCGTAATGCAGCTAGGCACCGTACAACACTAGCATCGGCCCAGGCTGACAAAACCTAGCTAAACTCCAAAACATGTTGCCTTTATTATGGTCTGAAAGAACACTTTCCTGGAGATTTCCACCATAAACTCCCATCCCAACACACTCTCGTGTGATTCATCATTAGTGAGCAAAACGTGAAAGCCGAATACTACTTGTGTTGGGAAAAGCACTTCACGCTCATCTTCATTCCCGTAATACTTGCTCAACTCATTTGCGTAGCGCCTTTAAGAATTAACTGTGCGAGTAAGGACCATGCGACACATCCAAGGGCAGCTGTCAGTGCTCCTTAGGGATCACACTTTCCAGCAGGGTGTTGCCATTTACAGTAGCCGTGGCCGCCACAAGGACCTGATAACCTGCACAGAGTACGGTGAGAGGCACGTGTAAGGTGCGAACATAGGTACTACCACTGGTCTCGCATTACGGGGCAACTCCATTTTATGCTCCAACCAAAACAAATAATTGACATTGCTTTGGTGAGCCATCATGGTGGGTCAGCTGCTGCTAGTGAACAGCAACCAAAATTGCTCGTTACTTGTTTTAATTTTCTCAGTTCAAGGCAAAGCCACACATTGAAAGGTGCCAAACAAGTTGATAACGGATGCCACCAAACTCACTTATTCGGAATGACAATATCTATAAGATGAAGATCGAAATATGAGCAGTGGCTGTTGAACTCTTACCCCCAAACCTATATACAGGCTAAAATGTAATTTCAAATAAAATAAAAATGCATACTTGGCACAATGCATGGGGCATGTGTTTTTAGATTTGTTACCCTTTTGTTTCAACTGAATGCACTCCATATCTACATCAACAATGCTTATACACTGCTGTTTACAAGGTGTTCCACATTTACCCAAAGCATCAAGTAGGAACCAAAATAAGGGATCTGCTAGTAGACGACAGAGTTAGCGCCCCCTGCGAGGGCAGCAGCATAAAGGCACCCTGACGCCTAAGCACTTAAAGGGAAGATGGGGCACTTCTGCATTTGAGAAAAAACACTTGAATTGCATTCATTTGGCCTTTAGAATAGCAGATATCACAATTATATTTCAATGCGATGCGCCGGAGTGCCATAAGAGCAATTTCAGAATAGGGCTGAAGCCCCGCCTCCCTAGCCTTGGGCAGCCAAAACATCCGTCGATGACGTCACATACAGCGACTGTCTTTCGCGTTTTCTCGCGTTTAACAATACTTACGCAGCAAATGGTTTGGGTATTCGGGATCACGGGGTAAAAATACACTAGGATTCGCTTCTAACTAATTGTTTTCAAGAAGCTCCGTAGCTTCCCTTTAACAGCAGCTTCCATTCCGGCCACTACGCGTCCGTCGAAACAAACCAGCGTGGGATTTCATTGGGCCTTTTAATTGTTTAGATTTAAATACTTTGAGCTGAGTTCAAAGTGAACCCACTAGGAAGCCTTGGGCTGGCATCTGATGCTTCACCGAGACTTATGCTCTTCAGGAAAGGCTGAAATGACCTACCTGGGTTAGAAAAGCAAGTTTTTGGAAGTTTATGTATATATTCAAAGAGAAGTTACCTAGTTCGAAGAGACTGGCAAAGAGCTGACAGGCTTGACTCTGAACCGCCTTGGACGCTGCCTCCTTTACTAAGGGCAGTTTTGTTTGATAAGGCCAAAATATATATAATGCTGCAATAGTTATCCTTTTAAATCAGTTATTGAGGTATAAGAAAAAGCATTTTTCACAATTAAGAACATACCATAATATCCCGAGAGATAGCCCACCTAAAATCGAAAGCAAATACTAGAGTGAAAATGAGCAGTGGGCTAACTTTCGGAGTGCAATCAAGAAAAGTTGAAAAAATGCTATTTTTAGTATATGGGTCCCAGTGTTGTAGGCATTACCAAACAAAAATAACTAAATATGTTACACGTTACTTGCAAAAAGAAGGAACGCATTACAGACCTACGTTACTTCAGAATAAAAGGAACACGTTACCGTGACCAATGAAAGGTAATGCAGGTTACTTTTGCATTACTGTTTATTGATAAATTGACGGTAACAGTGTTTTTCGACAATGGGACAAAGGGCATGGGCGTTGGAGCTTTTCTAAAGTGGGACTTTTTGTGTGGGGAAAAAGAGGAGAAATTTTGATGGTATGTGGAATGAGTGAAGTAATTAATGACTTGGCACATACACTTCGTTTCAGCTTAAATCCAAAAGCAGCCGATGCTACGAGATAATGGGACCAATCAAGCGTGTGAAAGGCACAAGTCACTGGGCCTTCTTTGTCTATGATTGGTTCAATGATCATAGAACCTGTACAGAAACATGACGAACACCATGATGGTGACCTTTTGACGCTGCCTGATTGGACCCCATCAGCTCACAGTGTCAGCTGCGTCTGGAGTTAAGGTAAAACAAAGAACAGAAACACAAAAGAAAGTTAAGTGTATTCCTTTCAGGCCTTGGGAAGAAGATGTGACGAGTAACGTAACTATTTTAGCGTTATTTGAAAAAAGTAACGTAAGTATGTTACCCGTTACTGTTCTAAAAAGTAACGAGTATGTCACTAGCTATGTTACTGCAAAATGAAATGTGTTACGGGTAACACCGTCACTTGTAACATATTACTGCCAACACTGATCCGTCCCTGCCAAACTTGTTATCGCAGCAAGGTGCAGTGTAGCAAAGACGACTATACTTCCTAGTCAGCAATGTTTGCTTATATCCCGCTGTAGCCAACTAGCCGCATTTACGCCGAGGTTATCATTGATTCGAGCCCAACACTTTCTAGGAATGGGCTATCTTTAGGTGTGTAATAAAAATTGCAAATCAAGCCAAAAATAGGGCTGGGGCGTCTCTCGGGATGCTACGGCAGATAGAGAAAAGCGTTTCTAATCAATGTGATCTCCAGAATTACACTTGCACTTTTTTCACGCAGCAATATTATCTTTACAGTATGCTTCGAACTCTGTATAGTGCTTTGCTTCCTAGAGTTATATTGGGGTGAAGTCCACCCCTCGTGCTTGGTGGTGGCAGCAGCAAGGCACCCACCTTTGAGCCTGGCCAGCAGGCGAAGTGCAGACACCTCGGCGAAGGTGACTCCACCCAGGAAGTAGACCAGCACCAGACCAGGAGGTTCTGCACCACACACGAGACACCGACTGTTTTACGCGTGCTCGTCCAGCTTGTGCCCGTTCGATGACGTCTTGCAACACGAGTTCCACGTTTTGGCGGTTTGTTTTTCTTTGAATTTGGGGCTGGTTTTTCGGTGCTTATTCTTTCAACGTCCATTTTTGGTGTCAGACACAAAATTGTCACTTGTCGAAGCTTATGCTAAAGGAAACAGAAGATGGCTGTGGTATCCCACAACTGCCAGACAACATGTGCTTGACCCAAATACTTGGAAAACGTCCTGGTGTAATGATAACAAAAAGGGGTTCCCAAAGAAAGTGGCAGCCTCGCAGACAGTCCAGTGCAGGCTGTGTTCTGGGGCAAAGCAAAATAAAGCTGCAGATAAACACTTCTTCCCGAGAAGCTTGTGTTTTTCCTATTAGGTTTTTCCTGTTTGCCCAATATTAATAAAACCAGCCAGGGGGTTACTTTCTGGGGTTTATCATTATGTGCCAAAAACATGGAACCCTGCTTTTCATGCACAAACATGTCGCCACGATACTCATTCGCCAGACTATAAAGCGATTAATGAACTCGTTGATCGCGTCACTGAAGCGCATTAATGACCTGGGCTAATATGCAATCATGAGGGGAGAGGATCAGAGTTTCTATTATAATGTAAAATCCCGTAAGAACACCCGACCAAAATAAAAAGATGAATGGTAAAAAACATGGGGGTGGGCTATCTTTGGGGCTGCGACAGCAAAACTTTGTAAAAAATTAAAGATAAACACCGGTGCACCCGCTACAAACCATGTTACTCAAGAACTGATACCGCAGACCGCGGATGAAGCAAATTTACAATACGATAAACACGCGAGAATTTGCGACAACGTTCTGTGTAACAGGAAAGGAGACCGTAGAATGCAAACGCAGCAGATTCATGTTCCACGGTGCGAAAGACACGTGGGAACCCGCCACGAACTCGCATCTCACGGGAATGGATACAGCAGATCACGGACGCAGCAGATTCGAGTTTTATGGTGCAATGAACGAGCGGAAGACCGCTGCAAACTTGCGTGTCATGGGAACTGATATCATGCGCGCAAATCGCAGACGGAAATGCGGAAACCCGCTACAAACCCGCATGTCACAGGAACGAATACCGCAGATCGAAAATGCAGCAGGCTCGCATTTCAGAATGCAATATACACACGTGATTAACTCGAGTGTCAGAGAAAACGAAATCACGCGTGCCGATCCTGGTTCCCGCCAGACATCAACGACGGGAATTGAGGGGAGGGCGATGTTTAGGAATTTTTATATTAGTGATATGTGAGCGGATCTCACGGGGGAGGGCGTTATTATGGGATTTTACGGTAAGTACTTTGCTAAATTCCCCAATTTTTAAGTTCCCTTTTTCTGATTAGCTAACCAACAATCTCTGACCAATCGGGAGAATAAAAGGTGCAAAGCCTCGTTGATGACGACAATCTAGAGGTAGGTCCTGGAACCTTACAAAAAATTAGGCTTGTGCTTGAAGCCTCCATTAGTCCATGGTTAGAGGATTGCATTATTGCACTTGAAACAAATCTAAGTTTTGCAAAACATGTTGGTGATCTCTGGGCCCCTTAGAGGGGCCCAGAGATCACAACATCAACTTTCAGGTCACAAGAGCTTCGTCCCACAGTTGATTGATGACTGAAACAAGACGTGCGCAAACAGGTACCTCTGGAGGCGCCCCTGGACTGAGGAAGGGTGAACGTTGACGTCGGCCCAGGAAGCAGTTTGAGGGCGTCCTCATAGCCATGGATGCCTTCCCGTTGCATGATCTGCACAGGATGAGAACAGCCTTGCACCACTGCCAGGGACATCTCTAGCAGCACGTAATGTGCCAGACACCACGACAAGCATGGAACCGCTACAGTAAACTTGTGTTAATTCGACATTTGACCCTGGTGGGACCTTAAAATTTCAGACGAATTCTCCAAAGATTGAATTAAAAGATAGACGGAAAGCGATTTTGGCTGGTCTCACTCTTATCGGAAGTAGTGATGTTTTCTTGCCGTTTACGCCTAAGACGTGCGTTGAACAGCATGCTCTGGAGGGTGCTCGGTTGAAGTGCTTTCGATGGCCTTGTCGTCCTCGCTTTCATATCATAGCCGGTCACGCTAACTACAATGTCATAATCTGCAAGCGGTCCGCAGACTTCGATGCCGTTGTCAACATTCACGAAGAAGACTCCAACCAGTCTCTGGTGCAAGACAGCTCCATGTCGGTGGCACATGCATCGGTGGACCTCGTGCCAGCGTTTTCTTTGATCTCCTCTCTTGACAGATCACCCTTGGCAACATCCTGAATAATAGCCGTCGTCTAGCGATGAAAACCAAGATGTACTTCCCGTGTGATGCCATAAGCAGTTGATGTCGCAAGACAATTTAGCTTGAGGACATGCAGAGCTGCAGCCCTAGCTGGTCCTGTCAAAAATGCACAGACTCCACTCCCGCACTCTCTCGTGTGGCCATTGCACTTTCTGTTCAATGGCGACTAATATTCTTGCAAAAATAGACCGCGCTTCCATGCAAAACATTGCACGACGGAGCTAAGAAGTATGCAGTAATCCATACTTCCGCCCATTTCGCTCCCTGCTGGGGGCAATGAAAGGGGTGAGTGGCACTGCTGCCACTGTGCAAACAAGGCGGAAACGATCCTCTGTGCAATGACTCCAAAAAAGCACACCCCAAGTAAAAATAAAGAAAAAAAAATCCTTGCGCGAATTATAATTTTTTTTTTCCTCCTAGAAATGTATTGGTGCCTGCCTGGACTTTTGAATGCAATTGAATTAAACGAGAAGAATTAACCGAGATGGAATTCACGCTAGTCCACTGTGCCATGCTGTCCACCCTTTTTCACAGTGTGCAGAAGCTGTTATAGCTGGTGAGAAGCAACAAAACGGCGATGAATGGAAGTTTATTTGCCACTGCCATCTCTCTTAACTATGAGTCGGAGAGATGGCTTTCTCCCAACTCAAGCGCCTCATGGTCGAGCTCGATTTTGAATATAACACAATGTATGTTTCAAAGCATGTAATTTCGAATAAAAATCTTGCTTTATATTCGTGCAAATACGGGCATGCCAGAGCATTGCTTAGAGGGACCATTAAACCAAACAATACTCTTATTTGGAGCCTCCACTAGTCTACGCTTTAAAGGATTGCAGATTCTAATGTACCAACAACAAATTTAATAGTTTTGCAAGGTCTGTTTGCTATACCGGTACTAGTTTGTCATTTCTGGGCTCACGTCTGAACCAACTTCTAAATAAAAATTATAAGGCCGGTGCAGGTAGAAACGGTAGGAATTTATGAATTAGAACACATTAGATATTTGTTTACACACATTACGTTTTGCAATTGGGAAATCATTCAGGTAGAAATCATTCTTCAACTCTTTTTCGGCCGAAAACTAGTCCTCAGACGCCTGCAACAAGTCCCAGGCAACCCAACAACATACTGACATAAGGAGGATTATCTTTCGGAGATTAATAATGATACCATCGATTGAGCTCGCTGGACATGCAAGCTGGGGGGTAATGGTAGACATACTACACTGGGTCATGGAACCCCCTAAGTGACCAAATGGGTGAAAAAACAACTCCGAAAGCCACCTATGTCACAGGATGCCTCATCAGAACTAAGGTCACAACAACTTCACAATAATGCAACCCCATGGGGAAGAGGAGAAGCATTCTATTCCCCAGCACAATTTCGTGGCCCCTTGCATCAGGTAATATTAGGCAGTACAGTGCTATCCACTTATAACAATACTATATATATAACGATGCACCGCTTATAATGATCAATTTCTAGGCTAGAAACAATCAGTTTCTAGTCAAGATACAATGATAATCAGTTATAACGATTGAAATTTTGGGTTTTCTCAGTATCGTTATTAGTAGATTGCACTGCATACTGTGTTCTCCAAAACTGAACCATGGTAGTGCGGTTTTGCAACATCGGCACTGAAAATGCATCCTCGGCAATTCCTTTTGTGCTGTATCCTACCTTATCCATTTTAGTCCTTCTGTTGGTATTGCTCTCTCTAACAATGTAACAATATCAGTGTGCTATCCAGTGATTTTTGACCATCAATGTTTTGGGAACCTCTTGTGGACCGGCCGAAGTGATGGGAGACTCCCTCGTCCACAGCAACGGAGGGGGCTGGAGAGCAGCGAAGTGAGGAGTTACGACGAAGACACACTAAATTGATAGTACAACCAATTACTGGTAGAAAATGAACTTGCTTTACCATTGCGCAGTGAAGAAACATTATGCAGTAGGGTGATTGTGCTGATAAAGACAAGGAATCAGAAAAATAAAAGAAAAAAGAGCAGACTAGGAAAAAAATAGATGACTAAAAAGCGAGCACGTGGTGCGGCGATTTCATCGGCATCTGTTGGTTCACAATCCCACTAATGGCGAATTCGGGTGGTCAATCACCAACGAGACCGAGCCGGCGGAACCGGCAATCAGACCCGCGCCGGCGGCACACCACGTGACCCTCACCACCCGAACACAAAACGCCAGACGGTGGCAGTTTACTTCGCCTCTTGACCGCGCGACACCGCTAGCGAGAGGCTGTCGCCGCCGTTACCGCCGCCACCCAAGTCCCAACGGATTGAATTGACTCGAGTAGTGGCTGCTGAAGTGACTTCAGATTAGTTTCCTTCTTTCGTTCATATTTTTCTCACTGACCTTCTCTCCCATTTCGGAAGCGACGACACCGGATACAGTCTGGCGCCTACTCGCCCGGCCGTTTGGAGCTCGGGCGGAAAAAGCGCCGGGAAGTTGCCGATGCTTGCCGGAGGACCACCACCCGAACAGTGCGCGCCAGCCGGACACTGACCACGCGAACACTACTGCCGGTTTTCCGGCAAAATAAGTTGCCGACGATTAACCACTCGAATTCGCCATAACCAAGGGTGGGGTTACATCTTGAAGGGGTACGGAAACGAAATTCCAGCGCTCACTGTAAGCTTTAATGTCTTGCATGTAGCAGCATAACCTCAAAAATACCAGTCTTTCGTTGAAAGGCACAAGCAAACTAATTTTAAAGCTAACTAAACAATCTTTCGATGTGCACCTGGTGGATGCATGTGGAGCCTATATGGGAGGTAGTCTAGCAACATTGGGGAACTTGCTACATAGTCATGACGTGGAAAGTTCCATCGGAGCAGCGCCGCTCTATGGAATTTCAACGTTTTTCTTCTTCTTCTTTTTCTTCCTCCTCAACTCACAAATTGTGCATTGTACCAAACAGTCCAAGAAGACGAAAAGGAGGGACTCCCCTCTTTCTCGGACATTTGTTTCTGCACCCGGATACAGCCATTCTCCCCTTAGAAGGTTAGCCCGTCGCTCAAAACTTGGACAAAAGTTGCTTTCCCCACCCCGTTCAGCCCTAAGCTGACAGTGTTGTGGAAGCTACGTGCTCCTTGGGCCAGCCACATGCTCGTCACCTCTTGGGTACTTCGAACGGCTCGGTTGTAACGTGTTGACGCTATTGACACTACCACAACGCTGATAACGCTACCAATGGCAAAGCTCATAACCACGCCAGCCTTGCCACGTCACGAATCTGTTTCTGTTTTTGTTGGCGTCGGATATTCCATGACGCATCGCGCTCTCCGTTCGCTTCTCTTCGAGCGCTTGCTCGAGTGCACCGTCTGGAACGAAAAATATAGCCAGTCGTTCAAAATACAAACGTGTGATTACCATTTGCGGTTATTATCCGTCATGCTTGACTCATTTCCGAACGAAATTTGAATATTTCAATTTTTGTTTCCGTACCCCTTTAACAAACAATGCTGCCAAAGTTACGAGCACACGCGTGTGGCAATAGACTTCTTCCAAAATCGAAGCGCCCCATCGCGGCTAAATGCCACGCAGTGCACTCTGGGAATTAGTTGGCCACTCAGTTTCAGTTTCGATTGAGCAGCTTCATTTCATGCTATCATGCCGTGATCGAATGCGCTGCTTGCGTTTTCGATTATCTGACTTTTCACGAATGTACAATACACTCAGTCTCGAGCGATACAAAACGAAGACCGGGGCACTTTCCTTGGTTCCCGAAACATTGGATATTGTGTGTGCGTATGCAAACGTAGTAGGATGTGGCTTAGTCGCCTCACCCCACGAGTGCATCTTTGAGTTCGATTTCCATAATCCTGTCTAGTACCAGTGAACTACAACTGAAATTTGGTCACCATGAGCCTTACACATATTTTGTTTCCCAAACGTCCGCTTCTTGTTATACTCCATTGGGCGAAAAGCAAGCCGCATTCTCACAGGAGTATCAAAGTTGAGCCCAGCGTTGATGCATGAACTTTTAAGGAAACACGATAAATTCGACCTTACTACTGCACAAAAGTTACTATGATGTCTTCCCCGTGTCGTCATACATCTCCCGCTCAAATTATATGCTGATAGGAGATTAAGTTTTCGCAAACGCTGAGATCGGCTAGCTACAACAGAGACCCTAACAAGCATCCCCTACTCCTCGTGAAGCCTTTTTGAACAAGCTTTTATTGACGCCCCAGATCTGTTTGAACGGTCTGTCTGAAATTATCTCGGCATACTCAGTCAGGAAGAAAGCAAACACATAACAAATATTATGGCCAATAGCAACCGTCAAATCCACTTTGAATAATTTAGTTCGCCTGGCGCACCGCATAGGGGTTCACGCCCGTCTGGAGCACTTCTGGCGAACGGTGCGACAATCTTCACACAAATGCTCGACTTTTGCTTTTTTAAAACGGTTTGTATGCTCGAATGGGC